CTCCCTCTCCCCCTCTCTCCCCTCCCCCTCACTCTGCACATACACATGGCAGCCTATGTGAGGACACAATGTGCAGTGTGAGGACAGTCACCTCCTACACAGGAAAACCAACCATCCTAGCATCTTGCTCTTGTGCTCCTCCCCTTCAGCACTATGACAACACAGATGTTCTTGATATCTCCCAGCCTGTGGTGTACTGTTATGGGACAAACTAATAAAAAAAAAAAGAAGTCTCTCTGGAAATGCAAAATTGGCCTTCCAAATGTTTGTGCATCTCAAGGAAGTAAAACAGCTAAATCTTCCATATGTTCATTATCATTCTTTTCCTATTCGGTTTTCATATTGTTTACAAACTGGATACTCTGCTCTGTAAGAAACATTTGGCAATTCCCCTTCGGGATCCTCGAGAGAAAAATGAATTCACCCAAACACACATGCTTCATTCACTCCACAAAATTGTCACTAAACTGAGATTTGCATTGTTCAGGATGTGCATAGCCCTACAAGTTCAGGCCCCTCATTCCTCTCTCTGATGGTATTTCTGGCTGTCAATTAGCAGTGATGGATTTTTATTGCCTCTCTTATGAGGGGAGGATTTATATGTATTTTAATTTGTGTAAGTTGACTGCATCATAAATGGTTCATGCTTGAAATTGCAAAGTAAGCTTGCCAGTAGGGATGACCTTGTTTATTAAAATCTAATTAGCTAGAGTTTTAGGATGTCTCTGAGTGGGCTACAGAATTTCTGTTTATTTCCAGACCTGACAAAGTTCAAAGATCCTGCTTTCCCTAGTTAACCATAAAGTTCAGAACCCGCCTGTGAAATAGTCTAGTTAATTCTTCTCCTAGTCAGAAGAAGTTCCTCGAAGAGCGCACGCCCAAGGGTCTTTGGCAAAATACGTTGGCCATCACTTTTCAGAAAATTGATGTACTGGATTACTTACCACTTGAAGAAAGAGGCATGGATGGGTATCATTTACCGCATCTGAAACAGGAGAGTAGGAAGGTGGCGCACAGTTCCCAGCTATGCTCGGACGGGCCTAATGATCTCCCCCTCGAAGTCTCCCGCTGGAGAAAGTTTTACACCACCCGTGCCCGTGAGACAAGAACGCTCAGGGCTTTTTCCTTCCAAGTTTGGAAAATAATATGGGCAAGTTGATTATGCACTTGTGGTAAAAGCATAATTAAAAATCGATTCTGTTCCTGACATAGATACAAAATCTCTTAATGCTAAGCCTCCTCTAGTTTCTACCAGATTGCTTTCTCCTTTTTCCCAAACTTCCAAATGATAATTCTGCAAACTGAGCGTTGTTAAGTTCATTCTACTTTTTGATCTACGTTTAATTATCCTCCACTGGACGTTCTCTTCATTAGTCTCCCAGAATTCTTTGCAATATGCCCAACAGTCATCTTCATGCTAACACACGTAGCGTGCGCTCTTCAATTTTATGGTGTCAGACATTGTGCATCTAACATGATTTACCTTTCTTTCTCTTCGAAGCTCTTTATTACCTTAGTTTAAGTTATAATTCCCTTGGTTTACATTACCTCCCAAATTTTAGATCATTTATTTTTAACTTCTTTGGTTCATCTTCTGACCTGAGAGTCATCCCAATCTTAAAACCCTTTTCTTGGTTGTCTCTGGCTCATGTTGGTCTGAGGTACTGAGAGATATCTTAAATTTTATCTTTCTTTGGACCATCTCATCCTAATGCCTAAGTGCTTTGCATTATTGTAGCCAAGAGGGTGTGGCTCCTTTGGATGTTCTCTCAGCACCTTCATGATATTGGTAACATAAAAACAAACATTGATCATCCTCAGGGCCTTACAGGGTTCAGAGCCCAATAAAAGCTACACCTTCAAACAAGTCTTTTATGCCCATTAGGGGAGCAAAGTGACCTGCTGAGATGAAGGGGAAATGACAAAGTATCTCACAGATGAGATGATGTTTGTAGAAAGAGCAGGGGAGCAATCAATGCCAGAATCATTTGTATGGATTTTCTTACATGGAGGGGGCTTTAGAAATGGCAATAGGAATAAGAAGCATTGCTTCTCGATTAAAAGAAAGATATTTGTATCGGTAAAAAGTAACACTTTTAGGATAGTAACATCCATAAAATAAAGCTCCAAATTACATCACCCTCCTTCAAAGACTAAGTGTGTCAAGACTGAGGCTCTCCTGAGCGGATTGATCTATTTAAGAGGGAGTTCAGTAGTTCCTTTTCATGACTGACGTGTAAGAGTACTTTATACAATGATTAAAATAAACAAAAATGTAATAATTAAAAACTGGCTAGACTGAGAGTTTTTCATATCCAAGGAAGAAGTTCATGATGTGAGTTTCTAGTCACCCTCCTCCAGGGACTTAAGGGATGTGATCCTAGACAAGTCTAAGACTAGCAGGAAAGATTCAATGTGCTGCTGTGAGCCTATGCTGTCTACCAGCTACCATCGTCATAATGAAAGTAAGAAGGGGAACTTTGAGAGAATGAATCAGAGAGGTTGACATGGGTGTTCTGGAATCTCAGAAACACAAGGCCAGCTGAGTCACATCATTCTGCATAGAGTCAATGTGAAGATGTCAGCCCTCTCGGAGTCCTTGGTGGGTGGATGTAGAACATGGGAAATTATGCCTTCCTGAGCAGCCCTGAAGAATCGCACATGAGGGTGGCCCAGCCAAGAATAAAAAGCAAAGAGGTGTCCCAGGGACCAGGTTCAAAGACAATGAGAAGACCTAATTCACCAGTGTAAGAGATAGTTTTCCCCCCTGGCTACTTTTCAGATGCTAAGAGTTGGCCATTAATTTCTAGAGTTGAACATCAGGAAGACTATACATCCAGCACTCTCTCTTGGAAAATCTTGTAATCCGTTAGCCATGATTTACAAAAATATAAGGAGTTCTTGCTTATGGAAAATAAAAAGGTAAATAGATAAAATGTGAATTACCCAAGCTAGTCTTTAATCCAGTGAGGCAGTTTTCTTATATAACAAAAATAATGAATTTTCATGTCAGTTAAAGGAATCAGTTGGAATTCATTGAGTAGAACTTGAGAAATACAAGCATACATCTTCTCAAACTGCAGAGGGTTGGAGTTAAGGTTTGGATTTTTACCTCAGATGCTAGTCAAATGAATATTTAAAACCCAGCATTATATTGTTCCTAGTCTATTATCCCTGAAATGTGAAGGTGACAACTAGCTAATCTTTTAAAACAAATGCTGGATATTATTTTAATAGTATCTGGAGAAACTGAAAAGGATCTTAAATTCCTTTCTTCATAGGGTTTAGGCCACAAATGGCCACATTACATTAAAAATAGGCCTACTATTTGTGATGTTTTATGCATACATTTAAGATTGCAGATTTGTTCAAGTAAGTCCTATTTCTTGATTTAGAATGAGACACACACAGAGCAAGAGACCAAAACACAGAAACAGAGACAGAAACACAAAGACAAAGAATCAAAGAATAGAATCATATCAAATCCAGGTAAAGAAACAATAGCCCTGGTAAATTAACTTAGTTTTTACATAGAGACAAATTCTTAAAACTTCCTCTTTGAGGGCCAGCCAAACAGCTCAGTGGATTAAAGCGCTTGTTTAGGCAGATGCAGTCTCTGGGGTTCAATCCCCATTGAGCCATGCCAGCCCTTCCCCCGGGGAACACTGAGGCAGTGATTAAGACTGGGCATAGTGGCGCATGCCTATAATCCCAGCTGTTGGGAGGCTGAACACAGGCAGATCACTATTAGTCAGATCTATGTAGTGAGACCCTGTAGACTCTGTAGGCCCCTGCCTAAAATACAGAAAGAAAACTTTCCTCTTTAAGATTTAAATCTTGGACTGGGGAGATAGCTCAGTGGTCTATATGCCTGACTGGCAAACATAAGACCTGGATTCAATCCCCAGTACCACATGCCATGCAGGCCAGTGAAACTGGGCGCAGTGACTTACACTTGTAATCCCAGAGCTGAGGAGGCTGAAGCAGGAGGATCATTATGAGCAGAACTGTGTAGCAAGATCCTGCAATAAATAAATAAATAAATAAAATTTTAAAAATCTAAATCTTGTACCTTCTTGCTAAATTAATAACTTGCAATGTTCCTAATGAAATATTAGGTTCTAAAGAAAAATCAATCCTCAATTACAGTAAAAGAAAAATCAAAGTATTTCAAGAACATTCAAGAAACTCCAATATATGGCA